AATGCCATAGGGCCTTCAGGTTGCAGTGACGCGACCTGGGGGCCCTATTCCAACCTCGGGTCCCGTGAGGGGCCCGTGTGTAGGCTTTCAGCATGTAACAGTTACACACTCTTTCTGATATATGGTTTGCTTCCACATTATCTTTGCTATGATCGAATAATGCAAAAAACTGCTGACAAAAAAAAGAAAAAGCAAACAAAAGCAAGAGACAAAAAAGAAACAGGAAAAGGTGCAGAATAGTGCTGGCCTAGCATAGTGGAGAAGCCCGCAAGTCTAAATTTTCAGTGATGTGTTGCAGCTGTGTTCTCAGCTTTGCCTTACGGTGTATCTTGCCTTTCATTGCAGAGAGGATGCTCAGTCAGGCCAAGGCATGGGCTCTACTAGGAGCTCTGCGGTTCCATCTGTTATTGCCACCTGATGGCTGTGACCCTGCTGGAAAATATGCATACAAACGTGACCACTTATTGGACCGGTTAGAAGACATACAGATTGAAATTGAGGTGAGAACTCCTGAATACGAGTGAGAAGAATGTTACTGACCTGCCTATTATGCGTTGAACTGCTGCTCAAAATTGTATGGGTGTGTCTGATCTCCCCCCCCACAACGTTCACCGCCCCCTTCCTTAATCATGTGTAGCATTGGCCGTCAATGGACGAGGATGATACAATTGTTTTCTTGTATATACATTCGTTTGTTTGTGATTAACATAAGGTCCAGGACCAACTCGCCAGTGATCGTACCTGCAACCTGCCACCAAAGAGGAGGATTAATCCATGACCCATTGCTCGTAACCCATGTGCATATGAGGCCAGCGTAGTATCCATATTCAGTTCTGCAAATGTGTTCAACCAGTCCTGACTTCTTTTTGGCACACAAATTGACACAATCAAATGCTTCATAAATTAATCACCACTTTCAAGAAGTATATTCTGCGTGACATATACTGACCAGAAAATTGGCAGAAAATTGCCAGAAATCCTTATTTCACAATTCTCGATATTTCATATCGATTTCTCTGTCCATCATTTCGACATTTGAGCAAATGCTAGTCTGGTGCTTGTTGAAGTATGCATTTCTTTTTTGAAGTTTTTTCCTGTTTTGTCCTGTGCGACCACCCCCCTTTTTATTTCGTAAGGGGGTGGCTCCTAATGTGCCTGAACTTTGAACTCGTGATCTGTTGTGAACAGTCACAGTTGTGTACCGTTCAGCCACTACCCCAGTAGGCAGGCATGCCTTGTATTATACTGGTGATTTTGTGTGGCTAGTCAAGTCAAATCTTTCTTAATGCCGAGAATGATTGCAGAGGGAAGGTTTTGTTTTACTTCATAGTAGCTTTCAACGTATGAGAACATTTGCTGAGGAATCATTTTGTTGGATGTCAAGCTTTTAATTTGTTTCATAATGATTCATGGGAAACTGTCCAGGTTCGAGCATCTGTCCAGCGTTTTTCGACTGGCTCATCATACTCGCCAGCAATCGAGCGACTGTGGTCTGACGCTGCTAACCTCAGGAAGGAATTGCAGCAGCTGGAAGGGAAGATTGTGCCACGGCCAAAGCCTTCTCAGTTCATGGCCCTGTATGAGGACTTGTGTCAGTTCCTTGGACGTGTGATGTCGGACTCGAAGCTATTTGGTTTGATCTCGGAGCTTGAAGAGTACATGATGAACGCTGAACTTGGTCATTCAGATCGAAATGGAACCAATGTAAGGCAGCTACAGAAGGTGATGCAGGAGGCTTTTACCTGGCAGGTACTGACATTCACCCAGCCCTCTAGCCAACCAGCTCGCCAGTCCATCATACTATCGTTGCCTTCAATATTGGGCACCTGCTCATCTATTGTCGCCGGTATTGTGTAGTGCACGTGAATTGCAAACAGACCAGTTGAGCTGCTTTTTTTCTGTACGATAAGACTGCCGTGAAGACGTTGAAGATCTTTTTGTTTTCTGCTGCTTTCGTCTCAACAACTTTTTTTATCATCTTTCAGTACAGCCTGTTTTATCAGTTGAAACTTTAAAGAAATTCTTTCAAGGAGGGTTTAGCCTCTTGACCCTCAACGTTCGTAATTTACTGCTCGTCCGTTGCCTGAAAGTCTGGCAATGCAGCTTTATACCAGATTTGCCGTAGTTCATACCTAAAGGGAACCCAAAGACAAACATGACAAGAACTGTGGGACATGCTGGACATGAAGAGCAGCAAGACATCTTCGGAAAGTCTTTTGCTTTGAAGTGTGCATCGGGTCTCCTTCCTGTATTGAAACCACCAGGTTGCTTCCCAGGCACCTTGTTGTGACGCACCAGTTAATGTCCTTCAAACTGCAGTTGAGGCCTACTGGAGGGAAGAGCCTGGCAAGATCGTGCCTGGTATGGTTCGGTTTTCTCAGGGCTAGGCAGCAGAGCACATCCAAAGAAAAGATGCCTGGACGGACTGGTGGTGTAAGCCGCCAGGGCATGGAAGCCTCTGTTTGCTGAGGCGGCTGTGTGCGCCAAGCCTCGCCAAGGCGCCAACGGAACACTTTTCTTTCCTTTTGCCTGGCAGTGCCACAGATTTTGGCCCGGTAGCCCCAAGCCTCCGTTTCGGATTGTCTAGACTTCAATTCTCAAGCTTGCCTGGGTGATGTACTGGCAGTTTAAGGAGTAAATCAACCAAGGGTTGTCTTGCTGAAACATGCATGGAGAAGCACTTAAAAAGCAGCAGGACCATTATTTCTTGAACCGCAGTACCAGTAGCCTTGCTGCATCATTTCCACTCTGCTCTTGGGGTATGCGACAGACCCCACTGGAAGATGTCCAGGGCTTTGTTGGGGAGTCGAAAGGTTACAATCAGATGGTTGAAATCAACTCTCTTCCGTATGACAGATGGGATTCCAAAGCCTTCACATAGACCTAGCTAAATGGGGCCTGGCCCTAAGGTGGAGAACAGTGATTAGGTCGTTGATCAGAGAGTCTGTCACAGGACGTCTAACTACCCCCTTGGTGCTCATTTGTTGCCAGCTGTTTCAAAAGTCTCCGCTCACTCATTTTCAGCCCCTCAAGGTATCTCCGCCAGGTTCTCTGTGGTTGAGAACATGTGAACATGTACTGAGGGGCAGACGGGGTGCCCTCCATTATTTGAAATGCAGTCTCTTAGGTCGGCTGGAACTCTGTAGTTCTTTTGTCTGATTGGCACGTGCGTGTTTGCGCATGGCGGTGCTTTCTGCTGCACTTGTTTGATGGTGGTTCAGGACAATGCAATGCACATGATTCAACGGCTGTCTTCAGAGTACCCGTTGTACCGAGATGTCGTGCAACCTTTCCAGCTGTCGGTTTACTTGGTGAAGTATGGTCTCTCTCTTATGGTTTCTACTTGCATTGGGACGCAAGTTGGGAGAGTTTTGGCAGTGCCATCAGAGGCAGCATCTGAATTGACGACAGAAGGTTCGGTGCAACCTCTTGCGGTAAGTGATGAAAATCAGGACAATCTATGGTAGATGACAATTGTTTCGTGCCAGTTTTTGTTTTTCCTTTGTCTCTGGTTTTAACATTTCATCTAAATGTGTATGTGTCCACATCAGGTAAGTAGCAAACTGATGCCGTCAACTTGTGGCGGACGGAAATTACTTTTCAGTTATGTCATTTGTGGTGCTTGTGTTACAACCAATATTTCCTCATACAAGCCTGCTGCACAATTTCAGAGTGTTAATTACCAACATAGACTATGTATAACCAATCTGTCAATTACTAACAAAAACTATGGCTAACCAATCAGTTCTCCCCTTAATTGCCGCCTTAGGTAATGTGGTATATTCTGGGCTCACCAGACCATCAAATATGTTCCAAAACAATCAAGATTCAAGATGCAATAACAGGGATATATATGAGCGTAGAAGTTGTTAGAACAGATCACCATGTTTAATGACTTAAATTGGTTCAGCCCCCTTGTATTGTGTTGGCCTTTCTAAGATCCTAAACGTACAACAAACTTTGTTCCCTGAATTGGAACTAATCAAACAAACAAAATACATCCCGCCAAACCTTTCTTCGCCTAAAGAATCACATTTAGCATTGTTCACGAAGTCTTCGGGTCTTATGGGGATCATCTGAATGATCATGTCCTCAAGATGTACAGTGATCTGCTGCACAATCATACCGAATGTATGCGCATCCCAGCACCACTCACCCAGGTACCTCCACTCAAAGGAGACCCTAACAGCTGACCATGTTTAATAATTTAAATTGATTTCAGTCCCCTTGTATTGTCTCGGCCTTTCTAATGTTGTGGCATTGTCTTTGGAATCGGTCAAAGCTCCACTGCATCTGAACCAGAATTTGGGCTCAGGCTGTTTTCAGGTGCAGAGTCTGTGCAGACGCTCGTCTTTCGCCTGCAAGGGACCACAGACTCTGTGCATGCGGCCACATCTTGCTCATGCAGTTGGACCTCCAGCATCGTGGATGATTGACCTGCCGTGTGTTCTTGAATTTTTCAAGATGAAAGACAATGTTAGGGTCTGTTGTAACCCTAGTAAGAAATCTTGTTATGGATGTCTGAAGCTGGTCTTCAAGAAAATTGCTTGTTTTTTTGTCACAACTTCTCACAAGTCATTTGAACTTGCTGTTGTGTATTTGTGCAGGACCTACTTTCTACCTTAATGGAGTTCCCTGTGAATCGTGCGGACTCCCATCTGTTCGAGAAGGTGACTCAGATTGAAAGAACTGCCACAAATTCAGTCAACGCTGAAATGACAAGAAGCACATGGGGAGAGGATATGCTCCTCAGCTCCGGGCTAGTCAAGAAGACCACTTATAAAGTGCTTCAGCTGATCGCAAAGCGAGCTTTGCTGGAAGGCAGATGGGACTTGCAGGTGATTCTTACCTCTTGCTTCTTTTCTTCATTTGGTTGTTGTGTTGTTCTCGCAACCTTGTGTTTAACTGTATAGGTTAGCCCCTGCTAGAGCTGTTACAGGTTGGCTGCCATAAGTTACCACAGATGGCAAGCAGACGACATGGCTATTGTGCCCTTTAGCTGCTCCAGCGCCCCTTTCCTCCTCCACACACACACACACGCACGCACACACCATATGAAACTTTCATCAGCCGTCTTCTGCCGTAATGAGCTTTTTGTTATAATCCAGCGTTCGGCACATTCGTGTTGTTGTTTGTTCTCCAAGCTTAGCCGTTCTGTTGCGCCCTTGCATGCTCTTGGCCTGCACAGGATTTCAGTTCAGAACTAGCGTCTTACTCACAGCGAATGTATGTGTGCATCGGTATGTTATAACGTGTGTAGTACACTGTGTACCATGTGGTACCTTTTCAATACAGCATCCAGCACATCACATGGCGTGGTATTGGACATCATCAAGTTCAATGGAAAACTTGACCATACAGGGGCAAACATTTATGGGTAGCTGTGGCTTTCTCCCAGCATCATGACGTGGCTGGGAGGAGCATCAGGCGAGTCTGTCTTCTAGTTTGGTTTTTATAAACATAGGACAAGCCCATGCTGCTCGTGCAACCAGTCTTTGACTGAAAGTGCTGCGTAGAACAGCATCCATTTCAGACTGCAGAATTTTGCTGGTTTCAGGAACGGATGCTTCCCCCATGGAATATCGGGACATGAGCACTCAGGATTGGGAAACAGTGGTTGCCATTTCTGTCCGATCACCACGGACTGACCTTCGCTTCCTCCTAGAAGACTTTCATAATCTTTTGACTATGTTTCTGAAAGAGTGTGTGTGTGTGTGTGTGTGTGTGTGTGTGTGTGTGTGTGTGCGGGTGTGTGGGTTTGTGTGGGGGGGGGCATGTGGATTGGCAGGAGAGTCTGATGGAGGTCAACATTGCACTGCTCAGGGTTGCGCTTCTCCGTGCCTCAGAAGAGATTTTGCACAGGAAGTTTGTCGGTGGGACATCTCTTCAGGTGAGTATATATTTGCACTGCCTATGTTGTGCATGTTTCATGAACAGAAAGTTGGAAAGATATGTGGCAGCAATCTGCGAACTGCTTATTTGCGGATGTCAGTACCTTAAATGACTAAGTTAGTGTTCCTCAACTATACTAATTCCTTCCACACTCCCGAAATCAAATTGTCACCCCCCTGAACTCAACGTACCAAATATCTCTAAGGCAAAGCCAAAAAATGCATCTGTAGATTCTGTACGGTATTGTCAATCTAGTGAGAAAAATGACAGAGGGGAAGCAAAAAGAAAAGATTCCGACAAATTTGAACAAAACATGTATTGGAAACCTTCCTTTCAACTTGCTGCAAAGTGGGCAGTCAGAAAGAGGCTGGGAACTTGAGGTGATTTTCCCCTTTGTGGTTCTTTGAGTGTAATTGACAGCTACATGGGAAGTCTCTTCAGTAACTACGTCATATAGAACGGAAAGCGTGCAGAAGCTAAGATGTTGAGGCCATTGGTCGGTCGCGTTATCGCATTGGAGTATAGCCAAGTGGAAAGGCATCGGTTTTTCAGCATCAGTTCTGTGTGATCGAGCAAAGTCTGTCCATGCCTCCAGGAAGAGATTCAGGATTTTTCATACTTGCGGCGCACCGGCACTGTGCGCTGCGCAGTGCGCTGTGCGCGGACCCAGGGTGCGTGCGCACCGGGGCGCGCCGCGCATCTGGGTGCGCAGTGCGCTGCGCACGTCTGGTGTGCTGCATGCATGTGCGCAATGTATATTTCCATGTTCTAGCGGTAGATTCATTTGATTTTGCTCTCTCTCTCTCTCTCTCTCTCTCTCTCTCTCTCTCTCTC